TCTTGAAAAAGTACCACTTTCATGGATGGATCTAGGATTGGATCCACGACTGGGCTACAAAATTTCAAATGGGGCTACTATGTGGAAAAAAAATTTTACACATAAAAAACTGATTTTTTACCAAAAAATAAAATAAAAAATACCTTAAAAAAAAATCTTGGACCTGGGGGCGGTGGGGGCTACAGCCCAGCCCAATCCAGCCCCCCCTATATCCGTCTCTGACCACTTTAATAACATGAGAAATTCTAGAAGAATAAAATACTAATATCAAGAGATGCGATTTAAATTTGACTTATGTGAAATCCGAGCAATCATGGTTTATTTTTGTTAACATTAATTACAATCTAATTGCATGCATGATTTTTGGCTGAATAATTTTTTTTCCGGTTGAGGGTAGAAATAAAAAGAAGCTTACATTTTTTTATTTTTTATTTTTTGTGAAAATAGGGCCTGGAGAAGTTGTGTGAGTCTAATCATACCTTTCTATTAAATTGACAATTTTAAGAAACTGTTTATACTATGATTATAGTACGAGGACGATTGGGAACACAAAATTCTCCTTTTCTATGAAAAATGCCCATATCTATAATTACGATTTTACTTATGGACAATTTCACAATATCTTGTTTATCCGCAACAAGCTATTTTCTTTGTCCAATGGTTAAAAATAAAAAAAAAATAAAAATAAAAAAACCTTTTTGGGGGAGAGATACTATTTCACCAATTGAGTCACACGTATCTAACTATTTTCGACAATAACTTGTACAAATCTTTCAATTAAATATTTTGTGTTAAAATTTCCTTCTTTTTTTTTTCTTTTTTTTTTAAAAAATTCTACAAGTCTAAATTTGTCGAGAAACTAAATTCGAATATCTAATTTTTTTCATAACAAAAATTGAGACACTTGAGACTTCTCAATTAGGTATTTTGTGCATTTTTTTTAAATGATTGTGTACATTGCAATTAGGTATTTTGGCTTTTTTAAATGATTGTTACATTGCAGTTTAGGAAATTTTTGTCCATTTTTTTCTCTAAATTTATATATTTGAGTAAAAATATATTTCCACAACGTCGTTACAATATTATGTGTTACATACTAGTACTTATAGATAAATAAGTACAATTATAAATGAATAAATTGCCTATTTTAAAAGTAAGATAAAAGTTATTTCAACAAATGTTTTTTTTTTCCTACTAAAGTGTTAGAGAGAAGTTATCCAAATATGTTTTGACCCGAAAAATACTTAATTTCAACAAATGATCATGTATTAGTGACAATAGGGTCATTTGATCCAGTGTTTGGTTTACTTTTTAAACAAGAAATGCTTCGGTGGACTGTTCCATATGGATATTAGGTAGGATTCTTCACTCAAATCATGATATTTTAGATCTTAAATCATTCGAATCACAGAACTCATATACCAAGTGGATATGTCCACTAACTTTGTTTCTTTCTCTTACGAACTTAATGTCTAAGATGTCATGATTTGAATGGTTCAAAATGTCGTGATTTGATTAATGATCTTAATATGTATGAATATAAGACCATCCAACTAAAGTATTTTTGAACATATGTAAATTGAATTTTCAAGAAAAAATTATTTTTTGCCTTTCTTATTTCTTGACCATATATCTATATTTATCTTCTTCAATTCAAATAATTAATAACACAAGGAAATAGCAAATTACACCTTGTATGTTAATATAATGTAATTACACTTTGCATATCATGTTCGGCAAATTTATATTTTTCATCCTGCATTTTGTATAATGGTTACAAAAAAATGTCATTTACTGAAAAATTTACAAATATGCTAATTGCTGAATATACAAAATACTCCTGACTAAATAACATATTACACTCTATATATTAGATTATAAAATGTGTTTCATACTGTTTTTTAATTACTGGTTTTCCAGTAAAATATTTTGTCTTTAAGAGTTGATTTTTGTGTGAGATTTATAAGTTTTATTATCTTCTTTAAATATGTAAAAATCAGTGAATGACTCGACTAATTTATGGAGTGATGAAAAATTAATTTTTTAGATGTAAAATTAAATGGTAATTGAACTTCTAGAGAATAAAATAATTATTGAAATTTTGTATGTAAATTTTTATATAACCCAACACAAATGGTGTTTTTCTTTTTCTTTTTTTTAACTTCAATCATATGTAATTGGTCATTTTAACTCTATTTAATGGTAAATTTGTAAACTCTTTAGTAAACAATAATTCTCATCACAATATTGTAAAAGTTGTTAAAATCTCTAATTGACAAATTGATAAAAATTGTGGGTCATACGAAATGTCCGACTGAAAATAAATTTGAAAAAAAAAAAGAGTTTTAAAAAATGAGGGCCAAATTTGAATATTTGAAATATTTAGCAGAAAAAGTACAAATAAAAAAATTAGAAAATTCTATTTAAATTGGTGCATTAAAAAGTATAGATTAGGTGATGTCTATGTACAACTGAACCAATGACTATTTAATAGTGTTCTAAAACACGTGCTTAAGTGGGGCCAAGGTATTGGATAAGCGTGATGCGTGGTGAAAACGCTAAGCCAAGTGGCTTGACTTCTTATTTAGCAGTCAATCACGTCTAGGCGCGCATTATTATTTTTTTTTTAAACAAAACATTACAATTCTTTTAATTTAAAAGCTGATTTCTTCACTTTATCTGCCCTAAATTCAAAAAAGCCGCTTGAAGTCTTGAATAAATGAAAACTTCCAAAAATTTCTATCTATTTTAGTATTTACATTTGAAACTTATCCTTTTGTTGAAAATTTTGAAAAAATATATAAAGTTCCTATAAATCTATTTTAGATGTTTGATAGGTATTATTTTAAATTATTAAATATTTTTTTGATTGTTTAAAAATTAAAATAATATTAAAATTAGAAAATACATTTTTACGTCTATACCTCGCCCAGCCCATAATTTGATCTCCAAGCATCACCATGCATTACGCCTTTTAAAATACTGCTATTCATGATTCGGTTCAGTTCCTTGAAGAATACATTTTTTTACTACCTTCTTTTCATTTCTAAGGTTATACAGACTAAGGTCGGTTAAACTCTTGACCTAAAACTCGCCATTAAAATGGATTCTATGGGAATGTCTAGTTATTCTTTTTGTCTTTTCTTTTTTTATAATTCTCATTAATTTCTGGGTTATCACAATGTGTACTGTAACCATTTTTTATTTTTTTTAAATTTAGGACAAAATTCCGATTTTTTACCCTGACAAAACATGCTTGGGCACAGTTTAAAAACACTGGCGGATTCAGGAAAAAATTTAACACGGGCTAATACGTATAAAAAATATATTGCAAATAAGAAAAAATTTTAATTAAAATTTTTTTAATGGACATTTGGGCTGAAGGGATGGGCTGGTTGGATCCACCCATGTTTAGAAAATGATCACTGTTCACATGGCCATGCTGATTTTCCTAATAAATATTCAACCTACTTACTGGAAAAACTAACTCTACACCGTTGCATATATTCTCACAAGAATATGATATCGACTGTCTTTGATTTCGAAGGATATCGAGGATAGATACTGAATCAAAATGCACGCAAGTATATCGATTTTATTTGCAGAACTAATCAATTACACTAGTTGAGATCACAAGTAAATTTTCAGATCTTAATTTTTCCATAGAACTCATAATTTGACTATAAATTTTGTGGTTGAGAGTACAAACAGGGCATAAAAGTGAAAGTTCAGTTGATAGAGAGAGTTTGGTTAAAAATGGAAAAAATGGCATTAAAATTCCCAATTGGACCACTAAAAATTTCTTAGTATAGAAAATCCAACCACCACCACAGCCTAGCACTAGCCACTGTATATGGTTATGGCTTATCATCTTTGAATGCAGTGGAACCCTCATATACGTAAAAGGATGTATATAATGTGTTACTTTTTATGCTACAACCATTCTTTTTTTCTGAACATTTACTATTTCAACATTATTCCTCTTTGGAGAAAATTTCAGTTAGCAGATAAGGCTTGTTTATGGAGTTTCCATGTAATTAAAAAAGGGTATTCATATTCATGCCAATTTTGTTAAATCTTCACCATTCCACAAGGACGGTCCAGTCTTAGTGCAGAATGTGTCACACATTATTGGACAAGAACGCACAATATTATAACCAATAAGATCATAATTCGTTTTTCTTACTTAATATTTTTCAACAATATTTTAAAAATCGACTCCGGCATCGAAAGAAAAAAGGAAAAGGGTCAAGAGTCAAAAGGTCGAATTGAGATCCATCCTGTGATTTTTAAATGATAAATAACTTTAGAAAAAAAAAATCAAAAGATGGATTTTTAGAAGGTTTCCATAAATTTAAATGGAAGAAACTGGAAATAGGTCGAGGATTTTCATAAAATCGGGCATCTCGATTGGTTTTTGGAGGATTTTTTTTTAAAAATGGTTATTTTCTTGTTTCAACCGTAGAACAGGGACGGATTTAGAGGGGACTAGCTGGGCTGTAGTACCCCCCCTTTTTTTAGGGTAATTTTTTTTTTTTTTTTTTGGTAAAACAGATTTTTACTGAGTAAATTTTTTTTTTTTTTTCGTATTAGTCCGGCTTGAAATTTTTTTAACTCAACTTTGAATTCAAATCTGGATCCGTCCCTGCCGTCGAACCATTTGCATCGATTCTAAATACGGTGTTTTTTATTGCTGTTAAATTCATTCCTTGTAAATATGTCATTAGTGAGTTTTAGAGTTTCTTTTAACTCGGTAATCTTTCATTCTTATCACTTAAGTTAGATCTTGATATTTGAATATTGTAGTTTTGAACATTTGAGAAAAAATTGAAATATGAATTGGAAACCAATAATTGCATGGTTTGTTTGAGACATGTGGTGGACAAATGTAGATACATATAAAATGTAATAGATTTTTTTTATTTTTTTATTTTTTTTATTTTTTTTTATTGTTCAATCATTTATTGGCTATGCCAACTTTTTATATAAAATGAGAAAGCGGGTATTCAATAAATCATTGTAGTGTTTAGGTGGGAAGAATGGGTGGCCAATTTGCTAAGCCAAGATCCAGTCCATTTGAAGAAAAGGATGGGGTGAAGCTGACAAATTATCGGGGTGACGCTGTCAACGGGTATGCGTTTGATGAAAAATCAAGAATCCCGGACCCTCATAGACTGATTAGGGGCTACACCCAATCTGTGGCAACACTGAACCTTCTCAGAGCATTTGCTACCGGAGAATATGCTGCGATGCGGAGGGTTACTGAGTGGAATCTTGATTTTGCTGAGCAGAGGGATAAGTATTTACAAACTTTGACTTTATTTTATTCAAGATAATTATTATGCTACTTTTTATTTAAGTAAAAAATTTTCTTATTTTAAAAGGTATAAAGAACTGGCTAACCGAGTCGATGAGGCCCTTGGTTTCATGGCTGCTTGTGGTCTCACAGCTGACCACCCACTCATGACCATTACGGAATTCTGGACGTCTCATGAGTGTTTGCTTTTACCTTATGAACAAGCATTAACGAGGGAAGATTCGACAAGTGGCCTTTATTGCGACTGTTCTGCTCATATGCTTTGGGTTGGTGAACGCACACGGCAACTAGATGGCGCCCATGTTGAGTTTCTTAGAGGAGTCACCAACCCCATTGGGATCAAGGTTGACTCTCAAGTTCTATCTTGTATTACGTACCGCGCACTTAGTTAAATTTTTGTACCATGCTACTTTCTCACTCTCTTGCTGGTGAATTACTTGTGTTTGGATGCAGGCGAGTGAAAAGATGGATCCTAATGAGCTAATAAAGCTTATTGACATTCTGAATCCTCAAAATAAACCTGGAAGAATAACAGTGATCACCAGAATGGGAGCTGAGAACTTGAGATTGAAGCTTCCGCATCTGATTAGGGCAGTCCGTGAATCAGGCCAAATTGTCACTTGGGTCACCGATCCCATGCATGGAAACGCCATTAAGGCTCCTTGTGGACTCAGGACGCGCCCCTTTGATGCAATAAAGGTACATAGTATTCGACAATAGAATGAAAAAAAATTTAGTTTATTTTTCTTCCTAATCGGGGGGATTTCTTGGCAGGATGAAGTGATAGCATTCTTTGATGTACATGATCAAGAAGGAAGCTACCCCGGAGGTGTGCATCTAGAAATGACGGGACAGAATGTTACAGAATGCATAGGAGGCTTTTTACAAGGTGTCCGGGCTTGTTTATGTTTTATAATATGTATGCACGTGTAAGGCAGTGGCAATTACTTTCACTATCCCATCTCCTTTTATTAAGTTTTGAAACATTTTAGTGACTTAGTTGAAATCAAAAATCAAGTTTACTAACAAAGAGACACTGACCCATTTATTTGAAATCAAGTTTTCTTCTTCATCTTTCCCTTCTTTGAAAAAATAATTAAGAAAAAGATAAAGTGCATGAAAAAAATAATAATAAAATAAAATCCCTTTCCCATTTCTATTGATAATGTGGATGAGAAAAAATGGGTTAAGGCTTTCTACTTCTTTTCTTGTCCGGTCTATATAGCCATGGATGCAAGTAACATAAAAAAGTACACAGTGAAAATAGATGTCTAGAAGAATAAAAAAAAAATCTGAAGTTTAGTTGTAGTGTATTTATTAAAATTCAGAATTCTTCTTTTATATTATTTTTATTAAATTAGGTATATAATTGTAAATTTATTGTGATGTATTTATTTAAACTGTGTTTTAATTGTAGTGTGAATATAATGTGGTGCACTTTTATATGTATAAATTTACATGTACATAATTTTTTATACATAAAGATGTCATCCACTCACATGGAGTGGGGTCCACCATAATAAAATATTCGAGTAGACCACCCCATGTGAATGAAGGATAATGACAATATAATTATCCTTTCTAAAATTCTACAAAGAGAGCCCCTTTTAGAGATCAATCACAACTTTAATTGCTAAATCTAATTAGCAGCACTGACATGTTCTTTTTCATTAATTTTCTGATGGGTCAAAAGTTGGACAACTTTTTGGTGCAATGTAAGACATGGCTGGTATTTGAAAAGCACACGTTTCCAAGGGAGAGCCATAAAGTGACACATTAAGACTGGACTTTCCTAATATGCCTGGCTATAATCTGGTATGTCATGTATATTAGGATGGACAATACTAGATCATGTTAATTAAAAAAAAAAAAGGGGTTTAAATAATAAATGTTATGTCGTACAGTTTAACAATTAAGTAACATTTTAATTGCATTAAATGTATTTAAGTACGTTAAATATATCATCGCATTTATGTTTAACGATTTTTTATGACATTCTTATACTTAACCTGTTACTAATTAACTATTCTTCCAAAAATTCTAACATCTTATAAAATGAGGGACAAATATATAGTTGCAATTTTTATTTGCTTATTTAATAATATGAGGGCCAAATAAATTTTTTTATATAATCTGGTATGTCATGTATATTAGGATGGACAATACTAGATCATGTTAATTAAAAAAAAAAAAAAGGGGTTTAAATAATAAATGTTATGTCGTACAGTTTAACAATTAAGTAACATTTTAATTGCATTAAATGTATTTAAGTACGTTAAATATATCATCGCATTTATGTTTAACGATTTTTTATGACATTCTTATACTTAACCTGTTACTAATTAACTATTCTTCCAAAAATTCTAACATCTTATAAAATGAGGGACAAATATATAGTTGCAATTTTTATTTGCTTATTTAATAATATGAGGGCCAAATAAATTTTTTTAACTCACTTTTCAGAGAACTTTATAATGGAAATTATTATCAGGGACCATGTGCTTAAGAATGGATGGTTGTGGATAAAAATATGACAAAAAAATTATTAAAAAATATAGGGTGAATATATTTAATTATTCATCTTTAAAAAAAAAAGGCCGTGCTACACGAATATAGGGGTTGACACAACGGTTGACATAGCACACATATGGGAAGGTCGGCATTATTTTATTCGCACGGGACTCACGTCTCGATTGTGAGTGTGGTGGCATCCTTAGTGTCAAATATTATGTTCATTTGGTATTTTTCAAAAAAAAAAAAAAAAAAATTTCACTTATTTTCATTTTGAA